CGCGGCCGCCCCGCCCCGCCCCCGCCCCACCAATCAAGGGCGGCGCGGGCCCGTCACGTGCGGCGCCCGCCACCCAATGGGCGAAGGCGGCGGCTCCCGGCCGGATTCAAACGCGGCGCGGAGCCGGCGCGGCCGCGCCTATGGAGCCGCGGCTGGTGGGGCCCGGGCCGTACCGTGCCACCCGCCTGGTGAGTGCCCCCGCCGCCATCCCGGACACTGCCTGCCTGCCGCCTGCCCGCGCCTCTGTCCCCGGCGGCCACTCGCTCTCGGGCCTCCTTGGGGCCGGCCGGTGCTCCCAAGGCCGCGTCTCTGCTGGGCGGGTGCGCCGGAGCTGGTACAGGGCAGAGCCCTGCCGGGCGGAGAGGCAGGTTCAGCCTTTTGTCCCGGTAAAAACTTAAGGGATGCTAGAGCCGTATCCGTAGGTCCGTGGGTAGTATGGGGCTCTAAATACTTCAGACTCCTAAATCTGTCTTTTGTTCTCGGGTCTCGACAGTTTAAATCCTGGCCTCAGGTTTCGATTTTCTTGTGAGCGCAGGTAGTCAAAAGAGTGTGTAGTTCTGCTTGCAGAACTGGCTGCGTTCTGGTTGCAGGAAAACCTGAGAGAAGATCTCCCGTAACGACTTGCTTTGTTCTTTCCCAGTGGAACGAGATAATCGAGCTTTTCCGTGCTGGGATGCCCTTACGGAAGCATCGCTGTCGTTTCAAGAGCTACGAGCGTTGCTTCAAAGCCTCGGAGGCAGTGAACTGTTTGCATGAGCTACTTGGCTCTAACCAAAATTTTGGCCCAGAAGTGACTCGCGATCAAACGGTTAAGCTGCTTAAAAAATTCCTGAAAAATCATGTTATCGAAGATATTAAAGGAAGGTGGGGCAAAGAGGACTTTGAAGACGATGGCCATTTATATCGGTGAGCCTGTGTACGGTGATAGAAAAATGTTGGTTTTCTGGAAACAGGGTATAACAACTCTTGCTCATGTCTTACAAATATTTTTTTTAGAATGACTCTGAAAAGGTGTTGCCATGTTTTCCCCTTTTCCTTTAAAAGACTTTAATTTTCTTAGTAATGGGTAACTGCCATTTAATGATTTAATGTTTGACTTCAGTTTTCTTGTCTGTTTTGAAGTATTTTTGAAGGTCAGTTCTGTTCACTTACATTAGTTGAATATCGACAAAAGTTTTCACATGGTATCAGTCTCTGATTCCTGATGGCAGACGTCAGGTTTGTTGGTGCTGGAATTGTACGTATTAAGACACATAGGAGGAAGTAAGAATGCCGTTGCTCATCCAGCTCCAATAATCAATCCTCTTTCACCCCAACCCCCTGACTATTTTGGTTGTTGTCTCCACTTCTTCTGAGAGAAGAGAAAGGCGTTCTGAATCTAAAACATTTATAATGTAATCTTTTTTTTATGCTCCTTGGTTTGTAGATGGACAAGGGACAAAGCTTTATTTGCTTATCCTCAAGGATGCTTATTTACTTATACCTGATGCTGAGCATCTCAACTGTGGCATGTTAACGGAGGAGAAGAAACTTCTTTGTAATACAAGTTTAGCATTACTGGACTGGATTCTTTGACCTTTTGTGACTTCTGTTACGGTTTTGTTGGACAGAAGTTGCAGGTTCTGAATTTGTTCCATCTTGCAGTGTCTTGTTTGGTGCAGAAGTATTATAAAGATGACTATTACTTCAAGTATGGTTTTGTAATTTTTATCATGGTAAGCCTTCTTTTGAGGAAATGGAGTTCTCATCATGCAAAACATTAGGAAAAATAGGTTAGTAATAAGTTTACGCTTCTACTTATTAGAGCTATTATTACATACTCAAATTTTGAGTATTATTTTTTAGGTAATAATTTCTTAATACTCTTTGGGGAAATAGTACTGAATTCACACTTGATATGCATTAAGTCAATTTTTCGTTTTGCTCTATTGATCTTTTGTTTTTATTTCTGGCATTAAATCTTGTCAAAAGATTTAATATGAGGTTTGATAACTTCTGGTGTTATGGTATATTTCTTTGGTTTGGATTTGCCATGTTTGTGTGGCTGTGGGGTTTTTTATTTATTTTGCATTAGCATGAGTATATATTCAAATTATTTTGTTCTTTTATTTCTTTGTATTTTCAGTCATGACTTAACTGAGTTGCAGTCTGTGGAAGTTGGCTGGGTGTTTCTGTGCTTTTAATTTTCTGCATGCTCTGCCTACTGATCTGCTATTGGACAATGCTACTCATTTGTTATATATTTTGTTGTGATATGCTTTCTCCCCTTCCCACTGAAAAAATACTTACTAAAATACTAATTGAACTTTTTTTCAGTTAAACATGCAAACCTTTCATGCAACTTGAACTAGAGCCAGCTTTTTCCTCATTGGACTTGGTGCATAAATAAGCTATATACATTACTCTCTGCTTTAGGTATTAAAACATGCTTCTCTTCTACTTAAGTAGCTAAATATTGGGTTTCCAACCTATTTTGCTATGTATTCAGCGTCCTGTCAGCTCCCTCTGGTGGACTTCCCTAATGCTACATGTAAAATAGGGTTTTTTTTTTCCTCCTCACCGCTCTGATGAAGGCAGTGGTACGAGTCAATTCTACTGACGGTGCTTACTTTGGAAATACTCACATGCTTCGTACCTTCTGTATAAATTTATGAGTTAGCATCTTGTAACTTTACACTGTGATACAGAGTTGTGTCATTCATTAACTTCGTATGTAAGTGTAGCTGTCAGCTCTTGTTTGTCCACAGAGTATGCAAGAGAAATATTGCCAAAAGTTGGTTTGTGTGAGAATATTTGGCAAATATTACATGTGAAGATGAAATCTAATGTGACTCCTAGAAATAGCAAAGACTTACCAGCGTGTCCTGACCTAGTGGCTCAGCTGAGTCTACAATAATGAATGAGAAGTTATTGTTTTGGAAGCTGTTGGGCTTTACACATTTTTTTTGGAATCTAAGCCATTCTATTAAAAGCAAAAGGGTTAGCACTCTTGCAATGATAGCAATCTTTTGGGAATTCAGCAGTAATACTCATTATATCATGGAGATCAGTGATAGTTGACCTTGTCCTGTATCCTTTGTTCTGGAGACAAACAGGTATCTCTAGTTCTTCTTTTTATAAACTCCCCAGACTAGTGGTGCTGGCTATAACCAGTTCTGATCTTGATGTGTCAGCCTTGAGTGCTCCTCCGTCCTTCTCTTTGAGAGACTTTAATCCTTCTCCATCTAGATCTTGCTGTAATGCTACCTTAGGAAGGGAAATGCACCTCCTTTTTCTGCCTGTAAGAACTTATTCTTTTACTGATTGGTTGCAAATCAGGGCAGCAAATGACACCAAGTTAGCAATTGTGAAGAGCTGGAGAAGAAACAGGAAACTACTGAGAATAGTGTAAGGCAAAGGAAAAAGGCTGCAGATATGTGGGTAGTTTTATTTTAACATTAAACTCTTAAGAAATAATGAATATCTGAAAAATGGTTGAGAACACTCAACAGCTGAACATCTGCCGTCAAGTCTGGCTTACCACTGAAAAACAGAGTAAGTCTTGCAGGCTTAAAGTGAGGTGCTTACTGTTGGTTCTGAGGGTTTGTCTGAAGGAAGTGATATCTCTTTGTCGTGGATGTGTGTTGAACACCACTGTGCAATGTGCTTGGTGTGTGTGGTCAAAACAATCAATGTGTTTAACCACCCAGTGTAACAGTACTGGACTAACCAAACTGCTATACAAATTTAAATTAAAAACTTATTAAATGTTTCAAGTGCCTTTAGAAGATAGGGTGACATTTTTGGGCAAACTTGAGGATTTCTCAAGCATTTTTTCTGGGTAGGATACATATGCATGCTATCCAGCAGTGTACAAGCTCTTGTTGCAAAGCCATGGACATACCTGTCTTTTACATTCTGATTTAAAAGAGTGAGTGAGTGAGTTAAGCAGTTTCTCACCACATCAGGAATCTCAGCATCTGAAACCTGGGAGTGAAAGTAGACAAGATCGAGTCTGGACCAGTCTGAAGAGGTGTTGCCATCTAACTGATTTGTCTTTCTGATATGCTGTTATTAGTTTCCTTGTACATGCTTTGACCTAAGCTTAGCAATAATTTGATGCTGGTCAAGCTGGATAGTTTGTTTTCCTTCTTTTCTACAAGGGCTGGTTTAGGGCTTATTTCTGCTAATTTCTTCAAGGCACTTCTTGAAATGCCTTAAGAAGTCAAATAGTTACCCGCAATATGAACTGGAAAAAGACTCCAGAAAAGAACTGCAGGATATGATCTTCGCACAGAAAGCATGTAAACACAGAAGAACCTGGTAATGTGGGGAAAACTTTGTGTGGACACTTGCATGCACTCTAACTAAATCCGAGTGTTAGTCATGCAACTTAGCAATAAAGCTTTGTTTTAGGAAATGCATGCTAACAATGCACTTGACATGGGGGAAAACATACCCACAGCTTTTTCAATGTCTTCTTGTGAAGACCTATGTCATTGTCTGTTTGTCATACTTTCACCCAAGGCTCAGCTGTATCATGGGAGGTACAAAGGACCTGAACTATTCTGGAGCATCAGCTGGAGGGCAAACAATACACTCCACAATGTTTTTGTATCGTGTAACACCAGTCTACAGGGAACTCAGTTGGGCTGTGAATGTCCAAAGCATTTGTTGTATTTTTGCATGTGAAGGCTAACTACGGTTTTGCATTGGTAAATAGGGATTAGGTTGACATTCAGAGACTTTAAAAATGTTCTCTAATTGCAGATTTCCTCCTTCCTCACCACTGAAGTCATATCCAAAGAAAACTTCATGTGGAAAGGAAGTAATTAAATTTCCTGACTGGAATGAACCTAAGGCTGGCCCTTCTCAAGAACACATCCCAGTGAAATCTGTTGCAATGGTAAGGCACCCAAATTTATTTCCCCAGACAAAAGCATATTTGGAAAGAAAACTGAACCGATGACCTCTATGCTGTGTCACAAAATACTTGCTTATAAAATTAAATGCTAAATACTTTTATTTTAAACTTTTGTGAAGAAAAGTTTTTCTTAAATTTGCTGGAGAAGTAAGCTCATAGTGTTCTTTGTGCTACACAATGTCCTGAGCAATTTGAGTTCAGCAGGGTGTATTTTCCCATATTTCATTCCAATTTGCTCAAATTCCAATAGGGCATTTATTATATTGCAAGACAAAATAGTCACACTGTAACTCTTATTTGGACACTTCATGTATTGGAGTATATACAGTATTACAACCTTCCTAGCTGCTGTAAGGCTTTTACTGACTCAGTTTCCTTTTTCATAAGGAATATGTTTTGGCTAAGGTGATGTGTTCCTGATTTTTCAGTTATCCTTTGTAAGCTTGGAAAATCATCCTGCCTCATACTTATCTGGATTGACCCAGCCTTTGTAAAGTTGTTGAAAAAACTTGCTTTCATTAATAAATCAAAATTGTATCAACTCTGTTCTCCCAGACACAGTAAAAGATTTCTGGGGTTATGTATATTCTAAGCGCTTCCTTCAGTATATCTAATATATGTGTGTTCTTATAATTTGTGAACTCAGGATTTCTTTGATGATTTTTTGCCATTTTATTACTGTCCTTCAGTGCAGAACTCTGGCCTTAGATTTCTTGATGAGCCATAGTCTATTTGGAAAAATAGCTCCTACCATTTTGCTGGACATCTAAATATTGTGAATGAATGGTTATTCCTTATTTACAATTCAATTGTGTGCAAATCAAGTGCACCCTTTATGTACAGTAAGCTTCTGAAGAGAAAAACATGGTCCTTAGAACTTCAGTATTAGGTAGAAGATTGTGCTGATTTTGCATTAACTGACATTTGCTGAGAAGGGAAGAAGCCACCCATGGAAATAATTTTTCTGAGAGAAGCTGCTAAGAGCTTCCTCTGTGCCTGGCAAACACCAATAGCCAGCTAGCTCTGAGAATTGACAACCTATTAAACCATTAAGAAGCTAGATCCACCTCTGTGTGATTCACATTTAAAGACAGGCAAGCCCAGGAAATGGCTCTCTTGCTTCCAGCCTTGGAGAGGTAACTGGGCACCGGTCAGGCTGGCCCTTGCCGAGGCCGGGTGTCCCCCCACAGCACGGGCAGGCAGACCTACGGGTCAGTGAAAATCCTGCTGCTGCTGAGTTTCACCAGGAGCTGCTGGGAGATCCTAGCTCCCCCACAGCATGGCCCCAGAGAACTTTAAGCATAAGCAGCTTTGGCCTCAGCTTGACAGAGATCGTGATTACCTGCAGGCCTGGGTGAGATATTAACTCTTCCACTGAATAGATGAAACTTGCAAAACATTGATCCTCGCTCGAGTGAGAGAAAGGGACAGAGTAAAGACACTTAGAGAAACAACATGAAGGCACCAAGGTCAGTAAAGAAGGAGTCAAGTCTCGGGAGGAGAATGAGGCGATGCTGTAGTATTGGGCTGAAAGCCTTATTTTGATAAAGCCATGAAGATGGACTGTGATGCACTAGAATATCCCCTTCAATTCATGTGAAAGTATGGGGGGATGGAGTGTTCAAATTGTAGACATGAGCAGAGACATCCATAATGAGGTAAAGCAGATGTTGAAGGAGCTGGGATCCCATGAGAAGCTTGAACAGAGAGAGATGAGAGTGATGAAGACCCTTTGCCCCCAGGGAAAGAAGAAGCAGACTTCTGTTTCCAGAGATGAAGATAATTTCAGACATGAAGAAAACCTTTGCTTTTGAACAGCTCATCCTTAAATAGTACCCCACAAGTTGACATGGCCCATAAAGGCAGCTGTGGGAAGGCTGCATGAGATGGAGGAATTTCACAATTACAGATTTTCTGGGTGGCTGCTGTCTGTGGAAGTTAAAAAGCCGCAAGAGAACTTCTTGTGAAGAAGTCTCCATGGCATGGTGAGAGAAACTCATCTCCCTACAAGAACTCATGAAAGACTCTTGTAGAGGTGGTAACAGATTGAAAATCCCAGGTTTTGTCTCTATGTTGTCAGTGGGAAGGAAAAGATGTTGTAGGGAGGGGAGGAGAAGTGTTCTGAAGGTTTTATTCTGATTCTTATTATTCTTTTAGTTCTGTGAATAAAGTGTAAGTATTGAGCCTGCTTTGACCTCCTTCTAGTTCATATCTCACAGTGGGAAATGAGTAAATAATTCTAGTAGTGCACTGGTGATTTCAGCCAGTGCTAAACCCACTACAGAGATTAAGAGAGACGAAAAATGGTGCCAAAGACAAGAAAAGAGAATAGAGTATTTTGGTTACTGAGCAAGTATCTGTTGAAGGTGTTACAGCCTCCAACTGTGCTCTAAATTTCGTCCGAGCATCCTGGCCTGATAAGAATTGGCAAAAGTCTACCTCTCCATCTGACTCTGTTAGAGTCTATATGCATAGAGTTTGACATAGCTCAAAGTCTCTTCATTGGCAGTTTGGATTAATACAAGTAAGTGAGACAAAGGTAGAAGCTTTCTTTTGCCTCCTTTATAATTAAGTCTAACTTCCACTATGCTGCTCAGGTAGGCCGCTAAAAATGGTGGTACCTTCAATTGCTTCAGCATCAGTCACTTAGTGGCTGTGTGCATGTGGATTGATGAGCATGGGTCTGTGTCATGAAATACTGATGTGGAAGACCAGACCCTTAATTTCAGAGGGTGCTACTTGCTTCCAACTAGCTCTACTCTAGTCTGCCATGGAACGACAGATAATTAGTGCTTGGAGTATTTAAGTGCATTCCTAGACTGCAATTTGTGGTTTGGTTGTGATCACAAGGAATACTTTTAATGGGCTAATACTTCAGCACTGGTCTGTATTGTAAATCAAGGAACTGGAATGATTAGGAGTTTTGCCTTGAAAAGGATGCTGCTGATACAAGAAGCTGCAATATATGTCCACCTGTTGATACCCTGACAATCTTCAAGAGTCAAGCTTGGATGTGAAGGTCGCATAAAGGATAGTGGTCTTCTGTGTTCTCAGCTTTACTTTACACTGTTACAACGATGGAGATATGATGGGTGCCTTCAGATGTAGTGGTTTGCTTTTACTTTATGTACAGAACCTGTAATTGAACTAAATGTTCGGTTATTTTCAGTATATGCTGAAAAGGATTGTTTTTTTGTTCTAATATTTTGGTATCTTGTCTTATAATTCTCCAATAACTTTTCCATAAACAGATGTTTAATCTTAAAATGGTAGATGAACTGATTTTAATCATGGATAGGGCCTGAACATAGGATTAAAGGCCATTGACTCCTGAACTTTAATGGCTGTTCTGACACACATTTTCAGCTTTGGACAAGTTACGGAATTGAGAAAAGGTATGTGTACAGGACTGAGAAAATGTTTCATTTCTCTGAAACACAAATACTAACTTGCATCCTGAAGACTTCACTGGAATTTAGGAACACTTGTAGTTCTATACTATAAATGTTTTATATTGCTTAACACTTGAAAAGTCGCCAGTTAATAAGGAGAGTTTTTTCTGATTTCAGTACTCTGAGATGTGGTACAAGCGACACAGCATAGCTATCGGGGAAGTACCGGCATGCAAACTTGTGTTCTGCAGAGAGCTAACACAAACAAATATAGAAGAGATATGGAAATCCATGACTTTGTCACAGTGAGTATACTTATGAGTCATTTGCTGTTATAGTAAAACTGTGTAGTAGGTAATAGTCTTGTCTGTCTTCTCTGGTAACACTTGTAATTTCACCCACTCACTTTTCATCACTGCCTTCAAAGTCATAGTGTCTAGACTAACTCTACCACTTGTTATTTGGCCAACAAATTCAGCAAATAAAATCTGCAAAAGAAACTTTACTGTGCTTACTACCTTCCGACTTTTGCATGTTGTGTTATACAAGTCTTTGTTGTGTGGGCTTTGTTTTGTTTAATCACTTTCTCTGTCTCTTGTTCTTGTTGCTAGGAAATAAAAGCGCTTATGTAGAAGTGCTATGAAACCTTTCAATGGCAAGTACAATACTTCGTATGAGATAAATGGAGTAGCTAATTGAGTGCTGAAGCTTTGAAATTCAGATATTCTTTACTATATTCAAAAGGGATATCCTATGCAAAGTTAAAGTGATTGCTTTGGACTATTTCTGCAGAGGACAAATGTTAATATACATTGGCTGATATTGCAGCATAGTTGAGGTTTTACTAATGATCACTTTAGTGTAATTCTAGTGCATTATCTGCATGTAGTGCACTCAGTGGTGAGGTGATCACTGGTGACAGCATGATTTGTGAAAGCATGATGGGCAGCAGGGGCTTTAGTGCATGTGTACTCCTGCGTTTCCTGAGCCAAGGAAACTCTGGGGAAATGGAGAGAGTCTCAGGAAGCCTGAAGCTCACATGGTAGCAGCTGACAGGACCTGGGCAAGTGAGACCAGGGGCAGTGGTGGCCAAGCCCCTCCTTTACATAAAGGCCTCTATAGAGCTCTAGCAACCAAAAGACCAGGGTGGACAAACAAAGGGTTGGCGCAGCAGATTGTGTGGAAGGATGCTGAAACCATGACAGCTTGATCAGGGAACAATAGTATTCACCTGACAGAAAGTCACGACCTCTTTAAGTTTGATAATTGACACAGACTCCCACAACTCTGTGTTGGAAGAGTATGATTGTGGGAATCGGGAGACTCACAGCTGCCCCTGACTTTGTTTGAAGCGTTCTGCTTCAGCTGGATGTGCTTAAATCTATGAACCCCAATGGGATTCATCCCAAGGTACTGAAAGAGGTGGATGATGTTATTACAGGATCTCTCTCCATTTTTTTTTCATTTATCTTGGGAGTCTGGAGAGGTCCCTGTTGTCTGGAAGCTGGCAAATATTTTCTCAATTTTAAGAAAGCAAAGAACAAAGACACCGGTAATTACAGGCCTGTCAGTATCACTTCAGTGTCTATAAAATTATGGAAAAGGTTATTCTGGGAGTTAATAAAAAAAATATTTGAGAGACACACATTGAGAGAGTCATTGGTCATAGCCAGGACAGTTTCAGAAGGGGAAAATACTGCTTAACAAATTAAAATTTCTTTTATGACAAGGTCACCCATCTAGTTGACCAAGGAAAGCCAGTTGTGTTTGTGGTTTTGCATTTAAGCAAAGCTTTTGATACTTCACAGTATCCTTCTATTTAAACTGTCCAGCATGCAACTTGATGAGTCCATAATATCATTTGGTGAGCAGCTGGCTCATGGGTCGGGCACAAAGGATTGTAGTAAATGTGGTTGTCTCTGGTCAGCAGTTGACAGTGTGGTTCTGCAGGGCCCTATTCTAGGACCAGTGCTCTTTTATGTTTTTATAAATGATATGGATGCAGGAATTGAATGTACATTAAGTTTGTCCATGGTACTAGGTTAGAAGGAACTTTGGATTCATTCAAGGGTAGACAGGGCCTCCAATGAGGTCTGGATAGAGTGAAGAGCTGTACAGTCACCAAAAGCTTTGAAAAAGCTGAGAGGTGACCTCATTGCAGCCTACAACTTCCACAGAGGCAGTGAGGGGAGATGTGGAAGATCTCTGGTGACCAGCAACAGGGCACAAGGAGATGGAATCAAGTGGTGTCTGGGGAACTTCAGACTCCACATTAGGAAAAGGCTTTTCACTCAGAGTGTGACAGACCACTGGAACTGCCTCCCTGGGGAATGGTCACAGCACGAAGCCTGACAGAGTTCAAGGAGCATGTTGGCAACACTTTTAGTTATATGGTACAGTTTTTTAGGTACTAAAGTTACTAAACCTTTTCTAGGTAATGAAATGAAACTCTTTTAGGGCTATGAAGATCATGAAGGGTCTAGTGGGGAAGACATGAGAAGTAGTTGAGGTCTCCTGGCTTCTTTAACCTAGAAAAGAGGAGGCTGAGGGGATATTGCAGTGCAGTCTGTGATGAGGCCCAGAGGAGAATACACTGGTGTCTTCTCTGTGGTGGCCAGTGACAGGACTGAGGGAATGGTCTGAAATTGTAATGGGAGCTTTAGGTTGGTTTAGGAAAAGAGTCCTCATCCAGACAGTGGTTGGGCTCTGGAACAGGCTCCCCAGGGAAGTGGTCACAGCACCTAAGCCTGACAGAGTTCAAGAGGTGTTTGGACAATGCTCTCAGGCATGTGGTATAATTTTTTGTGCAGAGCCGGGAGTTGATCTTTGTGGATCCCTTCTATCTTAGGATATTCTGTAAATCAAGGCAGTTCTGTGAGGAGCAAGAATTGCAGGAAATTATCCTGAAGGCTGTCATCCAACTAGAGATATTCTCTATGAATGAAGGTCTCTTTTTTTTCAAATTGTATCCTAATACTTCCTGTTTGCCTTTTCCAGATTAGATGTGTGTTCCAGATATGACCTGTATGTTTATGTATTTTTGCAGATTGCAAAAAGTCTTGGGTTTGGATTCTCTGGATGAAGTGTTAGACATAAAACTTGTGAAGTCAAAACATATAGTTCAAAATGTATATAATGCCAATAAGCAAGGCATTGTCACTTTAGAGGACAAATCAAGTGAGTATTTTAGAAATTTTAATTTATTTTCTTTATATTGTAATCTACTGGGATTGAAGTATTAGTTCTAATCTACAGTAACCTGTTGCACCTTTATACTTGTGTGACCACATCTGTGAAAACTAGAGTTTTTTGCAAAGTAAAACGCTATTTTCTGATATCCCAATAGCAAGAGTCAGGGTTTAATCCCTATTTATTCTCTTAAACATATTCTGTCTTTAGTAGGGTTAAAAATAAGTATGAAACAGCAGCTACTTTTTACCATTTGTAAATATAGGGGTACTAGTCACTTCAAGGTAACTTTCTTGGCCCTACTCTCTCAACCACCTGGAGTCTCTACCGGAAGAAGAAATACATTAAAAATTGTGAGGGAGCCAAAATGTACATTAAGAGAGTATTGAATTTTTACTCAATGTGTTTTGAAGATAGTACCCTGTTTAAAACTGTTTTGCACATCAGGGAAAAAAAAAGCATGTTTTCTGCTCTGATATATCAGAGTATTATTATCACCATGTTTTTCATAAGATTTGCAGACAAACTAAGTACAATATTGAGACCTAGCTTTTTTTCTGAATAAAACTGCCTTCAGATCATATCTGTGTTCATTTCAAAGGCAGTTGGACCATCTCAAAATATTAACTTCCTCCCTGCAGAAGTGGCAAAACTGAATATATGAATGCTTTTCATCATCTTTTGTACAAAGTAAACACTTCACTGTATATCACTGGGGAAGGCTGTATCTAGAACTAGTTTAGTCTGATTTTTACTTTTTTTTTTTAGAGTAGGTTAAAGATTTCTGATATGACCTGTTTTGCTGATTGAGCTGCAAGGGCAGAATGTATAACTGTTTGATAATAGTGGAGGTACTGAAGTATAGATGTAATTCAAGCCAGATCCTACATTAGGGTATAGCTTGCCTCTGGAGTCACTTATTTAATACACAGGAGGAACATGTTAAAGTGTTTTGAGCTTTGCTTCTGTCTAACAGTTGAATATTTTTTTTTCTTTTTTCTCCTTTTAATTTCTGTTTCTTCCCCATGCAGAGGAACTACCTCATTGGATATTATCTGCAATGAAATGTTTAGCAAATTGTAAGTAAGTTCAGAAGGGGAAAAAGATCCCACAAAGAACCCAGCCCCAAAAAAATAAATTGAACTTACTTTGTCTTCACCACTTTATTAAATCCTGTTTATATTTACTTTTAGTCTTTTTTTATGATGATTTTCTAAAAGAAAGTAGGAAAAAACTTGTCAGCATGTGTTCTCCTTCCAGTGCAGCTTATTTAAACTAAATATATGGGGGTTTAACTATTCTATTAATGTTTTTCCTCTACTATGTTTCTTCACTAGACCTACTGGGAATAGATCAGTCCAGCAGTAGATTAATAAAATTCCACTTATTTTGAAGAATGAATCTTTTTTTTTGTTATTATTATTTTTCTCTAATGATCCATTTTAACAGACTGGATTAGAAAACACTGATCTGCTTGGTGGCTGAAAGTCAATGCTCTCTCTCCTTTTTGATCCATTTTGTTTTGGTTTTTTTTGTTCCTTGTAGGGCCCAGCTGTTCAGATCTGAAGCAGCCTACGTACTCAGGCTTCGAAAGAGATGTCTTCAAAACTATAGTGGATTACTTTGGCCAGATGAAAGAACCTCTTCTCACATACCATTTTTTTGATATTTTTGTTAGTGTGCTGGGTAAGTAGTTTGGGATGTAATGAAAAAGATGTTCTTTAGACTTAATTTCCTGGAGTTTTCCCTTACTTAAATATTATCACAGATGAATTCTTTAGGACCTGTCCTTTCCATTCTACATAGAGAACAGTTTAATATTTAAATTTATTTCATATTACACATGGTTTTATTTTTGTATCTTTTTGCCCACATTAGTTCAAAAGTCTTTCATTGATTGTCTTTATAATATTAAAGACCTCTGTTCGTTGCTCAGCATCCAACAGATGGATTTTAACAGATTTTTCTTTTTTTTTACAAATGCTTAAACATCTTAAAAACTCTCATAAGCTCTTAGAAATTGCTTGACTCAAGTCTAGATTAGAAAGGATTAGGGCTTTAAGCACTGTTTTTAACCGTGGAAATACGACATTTGAAGGGAATTCAAATACTTTGTTGCTTAAATTTAGAAATTACATTAACTAATAAACTGCTTTAAAGAAGCAATGGTTTAGTTATTAACTAGAACTTTTCAGGGGTTCACACAATATTAAAATTGACAATTCTGATCCTATAGATGGCATCCTGAAAGACAGTAAATAGGAAAATATTTGATTACATTTTATGTAATCAAATATCAGAAAGAACAATTGAGTTGATTCAAGTAAGCCTGCTTTGTAGCATGTTCATTTTTTGAGTTTCTTTCTGTGTGAACAACAGTGTTTGTAGTAAACTATTGAGATGAGAAGGGAATGTAGAATAACACTTTTTTTCTGGAATTTAGTATTTTTATACTTCATGAGTTGTAGATCTTGCTCCATACTGAATTTACTTCAATTTTTGACTTCTTTTTCTTAGACAAGTCTTGTTGATACCTGTAAAACTTATTCCTCTGCTTTCATACTCTGTTTCTGTTTGTTTTTCCATTGTTTTTCACATCTTTCAGGTTTTACAAATTTTATTTCACAGTGTTTCATAAATGTAAAATTAGAAGAGGGATTTCATGCCAATGTGTATGTGAAAATCAGTGAAAATTGTGCAATCTTTCAAGAAGTCAAACATTAATTTTGTGGTCTCTTTAAAAAAAAAAAGTGAAGTGTTGATATCTAATCATTCCTTGCTCTTCTAAACATATGCATTAATATGCTTGCCACATCTTCCTTTGAAATTAGAAAAAAACATTACTACGGAAATTAAGTTCAGCGCTTTACCCCTCTCTTTGGAATGCGTTACCTACTCCATACTTCTTTTTCAGTAAGAAACAGTTTCCATCTTTTACACCATGGAGTTGACCAAAATAGTGGATGAGGGGGTAGCAGTGGATACTGTTTATGTTGAGAGTAGTAAAGTTTTCAGCACTGTCCTTGTTTGCATCCTTGAAGGCAAACTGAGGAAGTACAGGCTGGACTGGTGGGTAGTGAAGTAAACTCAGAAATCAGTGCATTTGCAGGGCTCAGAGGGATGTGATCCATGGCACAAAGTCTGGCTAGATATCAGTCAATGAGGAGCCCCCCAGGGCTAGTAGTGTGGCCAGTAATGGTTAACACTTTGCTATTGACCAGGATGGTGGCACATTCTGTCCTAAACAAGGGCACTGTGCTCTAAACAAGCACACAGATAACTAAAATGGGAAAGAACAGCTTATGCAGCAGAGGGCTGTAGTACCATGCAGGGTGACCTTGACTGGCTACAGAAATGGGTAAACAGGAATCTTAAAAAGTTCAGAAAAGGGGAAATGTCAAGTCCGCTCCTGGGGAGGAATAATCCCATGCACCAGTAAATGCTGGGGGTAACTGGTTTGAAAGCAGCTTTGCTGAGAAGGACTTGCAAGTCCTTGTGGGCACTAATGTGATGATAAGCCAGCAGTGTGTCCTTGAGGCAAAGAATATCAGCAGCATCCATAACTGCATAGAGCGCATTGCTGGAAGGTCGACAGAGATGTTTTCTCAGCACTAGTCCGCAAGTCCAGTGAAACAAATCAAAAATTACTGAAGACTTGAAATGTGTGTCATAAAGGATGAGACTGATAGCAGGACTGTTTAGTCTGGAGAGGAGAAGGCTCAGGGAGAATCTAAGTAGTCTGTATAAAAGATTGATACAGGAGGAGTAAAGAAGAAGAAGGAGCCAGACTTCTATTGGTGATACCAAATGACAGGGCAAGAGTCAATGGGCAGGAACAGAAGTACAGGAAACCTCATTTTCATAAAGAATAGCATTTTAATTGAAAGGTGATCAAACAGTGGAAGCAGTTGACCAGAGAGACTGTGGAATGTCTGTCTTTGGAGCTATCCAAAACCTGAGAGGACATAGTCCTGGGTTCCTTCCTGTAGATGAACCTGCTTTGAGCATGTGAGAAGTCTATATAATCTCCACAAATCTCTTCCAACTTCTATAGTTAGATGAAAAAAAAAAAAAAAGGACTTAGTTTTCTACCTTGTTCCTTTTCTAACAGAAATTACTGCTAGATTTTGTTTCCTGACTTTTGTTCTGATACTAGTGCTGTTTAGGCAAAATAATAATAGATGCTTCCTTGGCTGAGCCTTAACCTAAAATAAGATTATACTTTGGTGATTTTCTATAGGTGCCTAAATTACTATTACCTTCTACTGTGCCTGTTCAGTCTTCAAATATCTCTGCCATGCTCACTAAGTGTTTTCTCAAGAGTCGGTAAGCAGAGGTAGGCAAAGATGCAATGTCTGTAGGTGTGAGGTGCATGTTGGTATTGTCATAGCATACCATTCAGTTGTGTTTAGTGCTGAGGTAATAAAAGAGTGAAGGATGAAACAAAATGCTGTAATTTTTCATGCATTCTAATATCTAAAGTTGTTGGTTATGGCTATCAGTGTCTTCCATCAGAAAAAAAATCTTCTAAAACCTTAAGTGAGTCCTACTAGTCCAATTCTAGGGATATCTTTCTAGTCTCTTTGGGGAGTGGAGTTCTAAGACAATCTTGAATGAGTAAGAAAGGAATTTTGGGAGTCCAGATTTAAAAATATTATGTTAAATGTTACAGAAATATATAACTGAGAAATGTTCCCCAACCTTCTGATCTCATATAAACCAGGACTACTGCAAAAACCCAGCAAGGCTGTAGAAGCTCTTCAGATATCTTGTCTCCTACTGCCCCCAGAAAATAGAAAAAGACTACAGCTGCTGGTGAGAATGATGGCAAAAATTAGTCTAAACCAGGATTTGCCACCTCTTTCTGAATCAGTGAGGACCAGAACTTTGGTACGTATATGTGCAAGGGGAAAAGGTCTGGACAGGCTTTTAGAACAGCACAGGTTAAAGATTCTTACTGGAAAGTACAAACAAAATACAATTTGCTTGTTTAAGGAACAGGTTTGTCTATCCCAGCTATGTGGAAAGCAAATCTGAATTTGAATAAAGTGGGATTTCATGATAATTTATGAGCACACAAATAACTTGCTCAGAATTTAGAGGTCTCCTTTCCTTTCGAAGTTAAATCACCACTGAATTCACTCTTGAATAGGAAAAAAGCACAAACAAGCAACCTCCAAAAACAAACAAGCAAATCAACCCAAAAAAAAAGCAGATGAAGTCTCTGGTGCTCTTAATCACTGCAGACAGTGTTAATGAAAAAGAATTCCTGTTTCAGTCATAGCTAGAAATATGGAGCTGGATGTTCTGATTGACCTGTTTTCAGCCATTCAAAAAAATTAAAATATGAACCATTTATTTCAGTAGCTGTTTTTTTTCACCACTCTTAAAGTAAGCTCCAGTCTTTGCCAATGCTTCTTCTGTAGGATCATATGTAGTGATATCACTATGCTGATGTTTGCAACACACCTTACAAAGTTATTAGATGTAACTTAACAATTCCAACTAGCTAACAACATGGTTTTATTTTGGTTAATTTAAAAATCTCTGAAAATTAAGTGCAATGGAAAACTAAGCTGCAGAGCCATTCTCTCAGAATCCTATATATATGCATAAATCTAAATGCGCTCCACAGCAATTAAGTTTTTTGTGAACTCTGAATAGTATTTGACTAAAATAATTAATTTTTTACTGCCAAGGTTATGATTTAATTAACTGTAAGTGGTCTTTCATTAAAATTATTGTAATTTAAATGTTGTTATTTGTAAATGTTGTAATTTAAATGTTGTTTTTAGAAGTGAATCCTTACAGTCTGAGCGTTTTGTACCAAGTTTTAATTCAGCAATGCAGGTTACAGTACATGACAGAAATCTTTATTGACTTCTGTGATTCTAATGTTACAAATGACTGGTGCACAAACAGAAATCTTTTAACTGTGTGCTTGAGCACAAGACTACATGAAGTTAACTGGACCTGAAACTTGATTTGATGATTTCAGAATAGCGGTATTAAGTTTTCCCTGTAGTGCCTAATTTCTCTTAAATTTCCATGTTATTTTTAAAAATCTCAAAATACATATGCCCTCTTTAAATATCCATGTGAAGTGGCTGTTCAGCAAAGTCTTGAGAAAAAAATGGCATTCATCCCAATATCTAAATGGATTATCTGTATGATAGGTATCTGTATAAGGCAGGAGCAATCTTCAGTGCACTCATATAATGTCACTGAACATAATACATTTTTTAAAAATACTGATATGTTTGAAGTACAGTAAATATTGTGGTGGTAAAATATTTGTTCTAAAAGATCACTTTTTAAATGCAACCTGATTCTCTACTACTCACTCCTAAACAGAAAAATACATGATAATGATGTGGGTCTTTTTCCTCAGATGGTTCAGGTGTTTTCCCGTTGTATTCTCTGCTCAAAGGATGAAATAGACTTGGATGAACTTCTTGCTGCTAAACTAGTATCTTTTCTCATGGATAATTATCAAGAGATCTTAAGTGTTCCTTCTGCTTTAAAGTCTTCCATAGAGGATCATGTTGTACATCTCCAGAGAGTCCAAGTAAGTACCTAGTGAAAAAACCTCTTATGTCTTTCTGTTTGTAGATTGAATTTATCTTTTGTTCTCTGAAGATCAACAGTTCTTAAAAGACTTTTTTCCATCTCTATTAGCTTTTGAAGAGCTAGTTATTTTTGACTACTGATGTTGAAATATAACTGTGTTTAAATGAAACTAAATGAATCTTGAATTTGTTTAGAGACAAGACTCTCAAATATGTTTACCTGTTTGTCAGCACTACTTTCCCATGGAATGGGCAAGCTATGTTTGTGGTAGTGAAGAAAATGGAATCATTATAATGTGTTTCCTGTAATGTTCTGGATTTTTTTTTCTTTAGAACCTTCCTTGCTCAATTTTCTCATCTTTCTGTTTCCTGATACCATATTTTGGTTTTTTTCCAAAGATGATTTTTAGTTCTTTTGTCTGTTTTCTACTGGAAAAGTTACTTTAAACTTACTTCAAGAGCTGAACAGTCTTCCTTTCTGTCATATTTTTTGACTTACTGGAACTCACTCAGTTAGGGCTGGAGATAAAAATTACAGTTTAGAGTCTCTATTCAGTATTTCCTCTACTTAATGTCTTGGTGTGTTCAATTGAATCAATCCAGTTTATGGAAGTATTTTGCAGAAAACATAACTACTCTTTTTTTTCTACTGTATCTTCAGATAAAATATGCTGGGGCTGATAGTGATGCAGCACTTCCTCCTCCATCATTTTGTCACCAAATCAGTACAGGTGAATTTGAATGCCAAAGGGCAGCTGGCTCTCAAGAACCATTGGCAGCTTTGTTGGAAGAAATTGTGATGAATAAAGAAATATCTGTGAAGGATAAAAAGAAGAAGCTCAAACAAGTAAATAAAAATTTCTTCGCAGTTTCTAACTTCAACTCAAAAACATTTATCAAGTCTTAGACATATATTCTTCTAGAGAAATATTGAAATTGAAAATTGGGATTTCAAGATTTATAATAATTTAGAACAAGTATGCTGTGATGAATCAACACAAATCAATATATTACCTAATTTTCAATATAGAGGTGTGGAAAGTCCATTAGAGAAATAATTTCTCTGCTCCAGAAATACAATAGCTTCACTTTAATAGCTTATTGTATGTGTTTGAACAAATTCTTCATTTGAATTAATGTACTTTTCTAGTTTCAGAAATCTTACCCTGAAGTGTACAGAGTACGATTTCCTACCCCTGAAACCGAAGCGATGCTATTTCCTGAAAAAACTAAGCAGAAACCACCAATACTGATGTGGGCCTTAAAAAAGCCTTTGCAACCATTTCACAGAACGAGAAGCTTTCGGATGTAAATGGTTTGAAATATATCAGCAAACAGAGACAGTGTATTGTCAATGGATTTTGTGCAAACGGAGCCTGAGCAGCATATGGTTACTAAAGCAAAACTACTGGGGATACTGCTAAGAGCATAGAAAATGTTGAAAGAAGAGGAGAGTATTGAAGTTGTAGTAATGTGAACCATTATCAGTATTTTTGTAAAGCATTATTTTTTTAAATGTCTGTTACTTTAAAACAAGCAACAAAAAACAGTAACAAAAAAACCCTAAACAAGCCCACCACAAACTCAATGGGATTATTCTGTATATGGGTGATACTGTACAATTGCTGTGGTTTGGTTTGACTATCATTTTATGTCTAAATGCGTTTGTATGTAATGTATTCTTTGTAACTAGTCAACAGCTTTTTTCCTCCCTGAAAATGAGTGTCTTGCATAAACTAGGCTGTATTTCTGCACGTATAGTGTGAGGAATGAACCTACTGTACATGCTTGAATAAGTATGAAACACTGGATTTTGCTTTGCTTTTTGTGAGAGACTGTAATATTAAAAGTTAATGATTCAATCAATTGGCTGTTTGCAAAGGCATTAGGTTCTTTGTTTGCCCCTCTCAACCACAGGGGATGGGGAGTATTTTTGGGTTTGTGTTTATGAAATTTGTAACCTGCATAAGAACAACCCGGGTGCAGAAAGGATGAGCACCCATCACCAGAGGATGACTATAACAAACCCTCGTTTTGTGTAGCAGCAAGCTGGGGTTTGAGACAGATAAGGGATAACACCTCCAAGAAGCAGATCCTGCAATGTGGAATAATGTTTTTTATCATGCCAATTTCCTGCCTTACATAAGTGGCTCAGGTAGAAAATTCTCTCACATCCTGAGAGAGATACAGGGACATTCAGTTATGCCTGAGAGTATTCATCCCTTCTTTTAAGGCAGAACTGGCTCAATTCTTCTGGCATGACAAATAGGGGTCCTGTCTTTGCCTCCAGACTCATTTCTTGGGCCTGCCATCAGAGGACTGCACATGATCCACAGTGTTACAAGAGATAGTGTAAAACTCCTGTCTGAGGAGAAGCACCTGGGCATTCCCACCTGAATGTGTTGAACCCACTGAACTTTAGGTTTCAGGGATTTCTTGTACCCCCTGATGGATCAAAACTGTTACCATCATTTCAACCATCACTGGACATGTAAAGTGCAACAATCACATCTCATAGGGTGGTGATATCTTTCATCTTCGCTATCTGCTCTTATCCCTTCTTTCTATTTTCCTTGTATATTTTCTTAAGTGTAATCATTATACTTTTATATTGCTATATTTCTATAGATAATAATCAAATCTGCTACATACATCCTTTCCATTTTAACCAATTCCAAAATCAACCTGTTACCTACCTACCCACCTACCTACCTACCTACCTACATTTTTATTTGTAAAAACTCCACCATTCATTCAGTGTTGTGTCACTGTAGTCTGCCCTGAGGGATCTATTAACAAAAACCTCACTTAACCTGCCTCAGGGACAGGTTGTAACATTGCTGACCCTAACATGGCAGATTTATTTTTGAAAACTAATTTTCAATTTTCTGATTCATGGTGGTGCATTACAGCTTGAGTGAACTCTCTTTGAAATTCTATTAACTTTATGTAATGCTTACCTGTTCTGATAGGCAATGCAGCCCTTTCCCCCTAGTTTCTTACTGCATATTGTTGTACCTAGCTGGGTGCTTGACAATAGAATATTCTTTATCAGAAAATTTTAAAGCCTTGAGGTTCCTCTCAAAATGGAACTCAAATATTGAAGTGACATTGTAGCGTACATGCATTTATAGATTTAATAAGTTTTCCATTATGAAATCTAGTGTACCTATACCCTGATTGTACATATTACATAGCTGATTCTGAGGGCACCTTTTTTATCTATTAAAACATTACCCTCTTCCTGTATATACCTAGAGTTCTGAGTTCATGCTATCCATTAGAGGTTTGAAGAACAGCATTTCACAGCATATTGAATGTCAGGGTAGTCTATGCCAGAGAGAAGACAACTGACATCTCAACAAATTTCTGACATTTTAGTAGAAAATGTAATGCAATATTGACAGCAATTGTAACTTGCTAACTTCCTAACCAGTCAATAAGTTTCATTATGTACATTACAAGGTGGTTGCTTTAATAGATTGGGTTATTTGTCAGTGTGATACTGAACAGTACATGTTTTCAAGATCTGTTCTCACAGAGATACTTGGACTTCATATCAATAATTTTTTCTTAAGAAAATTTGATACAGAAAGGAACACTTGTCAAATACTAAGAAAATATAAAAATTACTTTTAAAAATGGTCTGAGGCCATTTCTAACCTTTTGTGCTAGGTCTTCAAGCATGAGAAAATCTTAGATGTGTCATCGTGTTCTGTGTATGTTTACATGCTGTTAAACTTCGATTATCACTAGACTACTTGCATATATTTTGTTACTTCACTAATCCATGAAGAATAATAATGATTTAGTCTGGTTGGAAGCAAGTTGTTTCATAAAAGTGGAAGCCCATCCTATGTGATCTCTGGCATCACTTCCTAAATTGCAGACTAGAAGTTGAAGCCAATCTGTCTGCCCTTTGAAATAATCTTACTGCCTGCCAATAAGCCTTCTGCTGTACTGTTGAATTTTTCCCTATTGTTACTTTAAAATGTATCTAGACTTTAAACAGTAATTAAAGTTTACTGATTCATTTTCATGATGAGAATTTGAAGATAAGCCATATGAATTGACTGTCCTTTTGTTTCAGAGACCTAAGTCCATGACTGTGTTGAAAAAAACCAAAAAAAGTCCATTTTCTCACAATTCCCAAGGCTGTGAAAAATACAAAATATCTTTGAAAAATTTGATGGAAATGTAGGAAGGGAATTTTACTTGAGATTGAAATATCAGACTGAATTTTAACTGTGCTCCTCTCTTGGGAGACACTTTAGAAAATCTTATTTAACAGCAGTTATGTGAGTAGGGCTCCTTCTTACAGCTGAACCAAGTGCAAATATGCAAGATGAATAGGATGGGAACACAAAAGTAGGGTTAGCTAGGTAAATTTTTCCTTTCAGGGTGCAGGTTAGAAAAGATAAGCTTGAAAGCTAATTCAGAGAAGACTGTAAACTTGATAAAATATCTCAGAAAAAACAGAGATTCTCTAACCCTAAACTGTAGGCAATAGACACTTGACTTTTGATTTAAATTTTGTCAGGAATTTAACATTTACATTTAATTCTGTGTTAAAGCCCTGCAATGTCTTGATACTTCCAAGACTGACCATCATGGCCTCCCCTGGGTTTATTTTCCTTGAACCATGAGGCCCATAACCCAAATTTTGTTCTGCTTATCCTAGTGACTCTTCTAAAGACCCTCACTGGATCAAAGACTAGCTGACATTCTTTTAAAGCACATCAAGAGGAAGACTCAATAAAGGCAGAAGATTTGCTGTTTTTTTGGTCTGGTTATTGAACCTATGTATGTCATCTATGTGGAGTATCTGGTGTAATCTTGCATGTAAGTAGGAGCTAATTCTTGTTAAATTTGGATAATATTTATCTTTGTAGTGCTGAAATTTCTTGTGTAACACCATTAGTTGTCAAGGTGGTATTAGACTTTTTGAACAAGATCTTTGAGCAGAAAGATTATGTGGGAGGGGTTTTTTGTGCATGGGTTTGTTCTGTTTTTTGTATCATTTGTTTTGGTTTGGGTTTTGGGTTTTTCTTTTGGTTGGTTGGTTTAGTTTTGGTTTTTTTCTTTTTTTTTTTTCTGTGTTCTTTGCCCCCTGCAGAGCAATCTATTTTCCCTCACCCTCTTCTCCACCTTGAGCATATCTCTCCTGACTTACTGGTTATTAGTGACACATCTGTGGTAGTTTTGCTCCAGTGCTTCCTCCAAGAGGAAATAATGGTATTATCTTCCTTTCTTGAGAGGGGTGTTGAGCCTTTGCTTAACGTTGCTCTTTTTCATTACACAGACACAGCTTGTTCCAGCTCCTAAATTAACAATCAGCTATCTGCAAAACCCTTTAGTCTAGTCCTGTGCTTTTAATTGAGTAATAGCTGCCATTCTTGTTTGCTAATACATAAGGTTTATTTAATTGCTCATATTTTGTGAGAAGTTTCTTTAACTCCTGATTGATTTGCCAGGATTGTGATATCAGCTGTTTACACTCATGAACTACAGAGAATGATTGATGACGTTATTTTCTGAAAGTATTTTCAGACGTTACTTCATATCAGAGAAAGCTTAGGCAAAGTCTCTGTGATCTTGCCTTTGTATTCCACTAAATTGAACCAGGGACTAAAATGAAGATAGTATGTTAATGTACCACACTTCTTAATTTATTGTGATGATGTGTCATAGCTTTTTATGCCCTCTTTTCTAAGATGTTTTACACTGTAAGAGTATCTCTTTCTTTCACAGAGACTGTACTAACTCAGATAACAAGCTTTATTTCTTGATCACAATTTTTAAAGTTACCTATTGCCTGAGAGCCTAGGATTGTAGCTCTAGATAACTTCATATATCTGAGATTTAAAATCCATAACCTCACAGATACCACTTTAGGTGTTTACTTTGGAACATTTGGTGTACTTTATGATAGCTTTCATCCATTAACACTATGATTTTCATAAATTCATTAGTCTTGAAGCACAAGTGGGAGGAGAGTAGCTTTTCAGAAAAAGAAAGCCTAAAAAATGGGTTTTACTGCAAATCTATTTCCAAAGATTTGCAATATGATATTTTTAATCAACATCTCCTGTATCAGATGACAGTTTTGGGGTTTGATTTTTTTTTTCTGCTGAATCTCAGTTTATAGAATAGTTGTGCATCTAGAACATCTTCTCTTTCTATATAAATTATGTTTTAGAAGTGAGAGCTGCATTCAATTGACTAAAAGGAATTGACTGATTTACTAAATATAATTATATAAAATTATGTGACATAACTTCCTTTTCATGAGTTGTTGTTTGTGTGTTTAACTTGCATTTAATATTGCCAAGCTAATTACATAACAAAAAGAAGATTCAGTATGTGTTTAAAAAGAAGGAAGCTGGTATGTATTTGTGAAATCCTTTTTAAAAGGAAAAAAAAAAAAAAAAAAAGAGGTAGGATGTCTCAAAAGAGGCAGGATATTTAAACCGTGTTAGTTCCAGACAGTAATTTTCAATTTCATTGCTTTTTTTTAACTTTTGGTATCTAAAGCTGAAAAAATCTCTTGAACATTGTGACAAAGGCAGATTAATAGAAGAATAGTGTCAAATACACCATTTTCAAGAGGGTAATTGAGAATGATCCAGATAGCCAACAGTAAATGACTCTGATGGCAAAGCTGGGCAAAATGGAAAAAACTGATTCAGAACTTCAGTGGGAAAACCTAAAGCACAGTAGTGGAACTAAAGATTATTAAATGCATTGTTTTAGTTCTTTATAGAGAACATACTCTTGCATGACAA